ATAATCCTCTTATTGCTATTGAACGAGTATGGGTCATTTAGAAATACATGGGAAGTGTTAATAAATTACTTAATTGTTCTATAATGGCAGCACCAGGTAAGGGGATAATCCCCCGTAAAAGAAAAGTTAGTTTCTTAAACCGATGAACGGACTATACCTATTATGAGTAGGTTCCAAGAAGGGGGGATTTACGTTTCAGCCGATTAGCAGATTTGAATAAATGTTATAATAACTTATAGTCCGTTCATCGCTTTAAGAAAGTAATTTGTAATGTGTTTACAATGCCTATTGTACCTCTTGCGGCGATAATCCTCTTATTGCTATTGAACGAGTATGGATCATTTAGAAATACATGGGAAGTGTTAATAAATTACTTAATTGTTCTATAATTGCAGCACCAGGTAAGGGGATAATCCCCCGTAAAAGAAAAGTTAGTTTCTTAAACCGATGAACGGACTATACCTATTATGAGTAGGTTCCAAGAAGGGGGGATTTACGTTTCGGCCGTTAGCAGTAATATATAAGAACATCGGGACACACAAAATAACTATAGTCTTGTAGAATTTTGTCTGGTGAAGATCATGGAACTTATTCAATCGCAGAAAGGCAAAGATTTACTGTTGAGCGATGGGTACCGGTATCGTAAGGCGAGAACTAATACCGATGGCAGTGTATCATGGAGATGCGCCGAGACACCTTGCCGAGGACGTGTCAAAGTGTCATTGGAAAATGTCGTGGTAAATGTGACTCGACACAGTCATGCTCCAGATCCAGCTAAAAATGAAGCAAAAAAATCTGTGTCTAATATGAAAAGGCGAGCAGCGGACACCCTTGAGAAACCAAGGCAGTTGATTCAAGGATCGACAAGAGGGATAAATTTGGAAGCATCAGTCCATTTACCATCGTACAATGCATCTCAGAGAACTGTTGAGCGTATTCGGCAAAGGCGTGAAGTGCCGTGCCCAAACCCAGGCTCTGTTGCCGATATTAATATTCCTGTTGCACTACAAGTCACTTCAAGAAATCTAAATTTCTTGTTATGGGATTCTGGACAGAATGATCCTCATCGCATCTTCATGTTTGGTACTGAAGAAAATTTGGAAGTTTTAGAGGAGCACCGGCACTGGCACGTAGATGGAACCTTTAAAGTAGCCCCACAATTATTTTTACAAGTATTTACCATTCATGCATTGGTAGATAACCGTTCTATTCCGTTGATTTACGTGCTTCTACAGGATAAACGAGAAGAAACATATGTTCGAGTGTTTCAAAAATTGATGGAGTTGAAACCCACTTTAAATCCAATAAGCTGCTTATCCGACTTCGAGAAAGCAATCCAAAATGCAGTTTGCCAGGTATTTCATGGTGTTCAGGTGATGGGTTGTTTATTCCACTTAGGGCAGTGTTTATGGAGGAAAATCCAAGAGCTACATCTTGTAGAAGAATATCGCAATGACGAAAATGTGAGAATGCATTTGAAAATGTTACTAGCGTTATCTTTTGTCCAAGAGGGCGACGTAATCACTGCTTTTGAGGAGCTAACCGAAAGCTGTCCACGAGAAATTGATGCAGTCATCGATTACTGGGAAGATACTTATATAGGACGGCAAAGAAGAAATCGGAGAGCAGATCCAAAATTTCCTATTCATGTATGGAATGTTCATGATAGAGTGCACCAGGGCCTTCCGCGTACAAACAACTCTGTAGAAGGATGGCATCATGCTTTCCAACACACCGTTGACTGTCACCATCCATGTATTTTCAAATTAATAGACCACTTCAGGAAGGAACAAGACCGGGTAGAAATAGAGTTGGAACGTTTTCGAGCCGGCTTCAGAAATCCCGAAGCTTCCAAAAAGAAGTATGTGCAACTTAATCGTCGATTGGAAACTCTTATGGGAAATTATAACAACGACGACCTTTTACCGTATCTCCGTGGAATTTCCAACAATCTGACATTATAAATTGATATATTATTATATAACTTCATTTATTTTTATTTTATAATAATTATTAATAATTGTAACCTTTGTAATTAATAACCTTTGACGAATATAGTTTGTAGAATTTTGTTTGTAAATATACATTATAATATAATTTTATACCTACATTTATTTTTGTTTTTATTTCGTGTGTAGACGATGCAATAGTTTTGTTGAAAACAAAAAATACATAAAATGAACCAAAAAAAGTCACGTAAAGTATTAACAAACGTTTTACACCACTTACAATTTTAAATTTGATATCATTTGTAGAAAACATTATTCAGATACATTTGCAATAGTTGGAATGAACAAATTGTAAAGTATAAATTTTTATAAGGAATAATTTCTTGCTAAAACTCACAATAGAAAAGTTTCCCATATATCGCCAACTGAAGTAGATACACGGTATAAGTATAGTTATAAATTCTATAGATATGTATGGTATTTATTTTGACTTGGGCTGTTTTGTCGGGGGCTGTTTTGACGGTGGCTGTTTTGTCGGTGGGCTATTTTGTCGGGGCTGTTTTGTCGGGGGCTGTTTTGTCGGGGCTGTTTTGACGGGGCACGTGTGACTATATATTTCATCATTTTGTTCCCGACAGAATCCAATTCTTCTAGAATTAAGTTTTAAACATTTATCCAATGCTTTTATACCGGGTGTTTGTGAAACACTCCCGAAAACGAAGACAGATGATAGTACTAAGGACACCTTTGATCACGGGACCACCCAGAGGAAAAAAAATCATCTTTTCACAACGTTTTATTAACTTTATTCACGTTCCATCATGTTAGTACAGCTAAAGGAAACGATAATTTCATTAAAAAAATAGAAGGCTGGCCTTGAACCTGCGCACTGAGCGATTTATCGATCAAATTGGTGGTACGAAGGGGGCGCTCATGCTTTCCGCACTATATTCACTCCCAAAATACAGTCACACACACAGCTTTCTTTGCACGACTCGCGACGAAGAAGAAGAGAGGAAAGAAAAATTATTTATATCTATTGTTTTATGACAGAACTACTGAACGAAAAGCTAAATATGATGGGAGAAGGTGAATGGGCAAAATTGTGCAGTAAAGTTAAAAGTATTGAGTAAGAATACCGAAATAATTGCCATGTGGTCGATATGATGTCGGAAACATTTATCATTCGCATTGGTGATGATGATTCTGATGACGGAAGCTCAAGCGAAGATGAAAATGATGATGCAGTAGCATTCAGTAACACCAACACACCATGCTCATCTGGCTTCCATGTGACCGAAGACGGTATAAAGGACGGCGTGTCACCCTTAGCTTAAGTTTTCTTGTTACAAACTACTTTATAAAGTAAACATTATCCATTTTTAAATCCAACCTATTCCAAAGTTCTAAGTAGCCAGTAAAGTACCTATTATGATTCTACAATAAAACAATTAATTACTATTATATTATAAAACAATAGATTAGTACCATATACATGTACATGTACTTTAGAACGCGACTGTCGCTCAGCGTTCTTTTTACGTGACGGGACCTGTATCTATCTCGGTGCAAAACCATGCCTACTCACTCTACCGTGTCGTCTCGCTCTGTGGAATTTACACATGTCAGCTTTGCCAACATGTGGGGAATTCCCAATATCGCGGAAAATTTAAAGTTGGTTGAAGATTTTATGGGGATTGGTATTATGCGAGGAAAATACGGAGATTTTGAAAATCGGTAGCCAGAGCCAAATCAGAATCTTTTTTCAAGAAATCTAAATAACTATCTTAACATTTTCTTAGATTACTGACGAATATCTAATGACTTCCTTTTTTTAATGATCTTCATTGCACCACATTTAATTTTCGGATTTATTTCGACAACCTTTGTGCATCATTTAATGCTTTTCATTTCTTAATTTTTTTAATTTAAAAAAAAATGTTAGTTAAAAAGTAAATCTTATAAAATTAGTTGAAAATCGATTCATGTCTTAAAATAAAATTGAGGGGAATTTGTGGGGAATCTGTCGAAGTTTTGTCCTTAAATTGGGGAATTTGACATGAATTTTCGGGGAATTTGACAATTTAGTGTTAGCAACGCTGCCATGTTGCACCGAAATTTAGTTTTCCGGCGACATAAGAATTAGAGGTGGCAATCACTATAGAGTTTGCAAGTAATTTTTAATAATTTTGACGTACCTCTTTTTAAATTCAAAGTATTGGTCGGATTAAATACGGAAAGTCCATTAAAATAAAGTAAAAATATTATTTTTTACATTAATTCTGATAGATTAATTAACTGTCGATCATAATTGCAATTGATTTTAACTATTAAATTATTCAGTACCATTTCACTTCTATTTTCTTATACAAAATCAAAGATAACTATGAAGTAGTGTTTATAATTGTGTAAGTGAGTACTGAGTACCCAATTAAATACGTTTATTAATTTCAATATAATTTTTGTAGTAATGAACTGCTTATTGCGTCAGGGTACAATTGATTGTGTAGTTGTATTAAAAAAGACAACCATAACTTCTAAATTCCATATGAAGACTAGTCGTAGGGATAACTAAACTTATCTAAACTTATGAATAAAATAAACGTTGGCAATGTAATAAGGGTTTTACGGTCCGTGGAAGAGCTCAGTGCTTCAAGGACGAATGCCTCGTGGGCATTTGTTTTGGCGGGATTGATTATTAATTTTAGTTTTTGAGACAGTTTCGTGATGACTATCACGTGCGCGGGAGCGACAGTTCAATCGTTTTGTTTATTACATTCTTGTTGTTACGTTTTGTTTTAATAATGCGGGTATATAAATATTTTTTTTAATAAAATAATTTTTAAAACACTTCCTTGATCGTCCTTTTTCACATATTATATATTCTTTAATATTTTCAATAATAAATGTCCCTTTTTTAATATTTTAAACAACTAAATTTTTCAAAGACGCGCGTGTACTCTGTTATTGAAAAATATACAGCGTACCGTGTGTGGCACGCAGCACGCAGACTCGTGGATGTGAATGTAAGCTGAAGCTGTGTGTTGGCAGGGACCCGCGCACGCGGCGGCTGGCGGAGCAGCGCGCGCGCGCGGCGGCCGCGCCCGTGCCCGAGCAGCTCTCCTTCAAGGACAAGATGAAGATGTTCGCGCTCGAGGCCGGCGACCGCTCCACGCCCAAGGACAAGGTACCCACCCACCCCTAGTCACTTGTAACGCGCCGCGCCCGTGCCCGAGCAGCTCTCCTTCAAGGACAAGATGAAGATGTTCGCGCTCGAGGCCGGCGACCGCTCCACGCCCAAGGACAAGGTACCCACCCACCCCTAGTCACTTGTAACGCGCCGCGCCCGTGCCCGAGCAGCTCTCCTTCAAGGACAAGATGAAGATGTTCGCGCTCGAGGCCGGCGACCGCTCCACGCCCAAGGACAAGGTACCCACCCACCCCTAGTCACTTGTAACGCGCTGCGCCCGTGCCCGAGCAGCTCTCCTTCAAGGACAAGATGAAGATGTTCGCGCTCGAGGCCGGCGACCGCTCCACGCCCAAGGACAAGGTACCCACCCACCCCTAGTCACTTGTAACGCGCCGCGCCCGTGCCCGAGCAGCTCTCCTTCAAGGACAAGATGAAGATGTTCGCGCTCGAGGCCGGCGACCGCTCCACGCCCAAGGACAAGGTACCCACCCACCCCTAGTCACTTGTAACGCGCCGCGCCCGTGCCCGAGCAGCTCTCCTTCAAGGACAAGATGAAGATGTTCGCGCTCGAGGCCGGCGACCGCTCCACGCCCAAGGACAAGGTACCCACCCACCCCTAGTCACTTGTAACGCGCCGCGCCCGTGCCCGAGCAGCTCTCCTTCAAGGACAAGATGAAGATGTTCGCGCTCGAGGCCGGCGACCGCTCCACGCCCAAGGACAAGGTACCCACCCACCCCTAGTCACTTGTAACGCGCCGCGCCCGTGCCCGAGCAGCTCTCCTTCAAGGACAAGATGAAGATGTTCGCGCTCGAGGCCGGCGACCGCTCCACGCCCAAGGACAAGGTACCCACCCACCCCTAGTCACTTGTAACGCGCTGCGCCCGTGCCCGAGCAGCTCTCCTTCAAGGACAAGATGAAGATGTTCGCGCTCGAGGCCGGCGACCGCTCCACGCCCAAGGACAAGGTACCCACCCACCCCTAGTCACTTGTAACGCGCCGCGCCCGTGCCCGAGCAGCTCTCCTTCAAGGACAAGATGAAGATGTTCGCGCTCGAGGCCGGCGACCGCTCCACGCCCAAGGACAAGGTACCCACCCACCCCTAGTCACTTGTAACGCGCCGCGCCCGTGCCCGAGCAGCTCTCCTTCAAGGACAAGATGAAGATGTTCGCGCTCGAGGCCGGCGACCGCTCCACGCCCAAGGACAAGGTACCCACCCACCCCTAGTCACTTGTAACGCGCCGCGCCCGTGCCCGAGCAGCTCTCCTTCAAGGACAAGATGAAGATGTTCGCGCTCGAGGCCGGCGACCGCTCCACGCCCAAGGACAAGGTACCCACCCACCCCTAGTCACTTGTAACGCGCCGCGCCCGTGCCCGAGCAGCTCTCCTTCAAGGACAAGATGAAGATGTTCGCGCTCGAGGCCGGCGACCGCTCCACGCCCAAGGACAAGGTACCCACCCACCCCTAGTCACTTGTAACGCGCCGCGCCCGTGCCCGAGCAGCTCTCCTTCAAGGACAAGATGAAGATGTTCGCGCTCGAGGCCGGCGACCGCTCCACGCCCAAGGACAAGGTACCCACCCACCCCTAGTCACTTGTAACGCGCCGCGCCCGTGCCCGAGCAGCTCTCCTTCAAGGACAAGATGAAGATGTTCGCGCTCGAGGCCGGCGACCGCTCCACGCCCAAGGACAAGGTACCCACCCACCCCTAGTCACTTGTAACGCGCCGCGCCCGTGCCCGAGCAGCTCTCCTTCAAGGACAAGATGAAGATGTTCGCGCTCGAGGCCGGCGACCGCTCCACGCCCAAGGACAAGGTACCCACCCACCCCTAGTCACTTGTAACGCGCCGCGCCCGTGCCCGAGCAGCTCTCCTTCAAGGACAAGATGAAGATGTTCGCGCTCGAGGCCGGCGACCGCTCCACGCCCAAGGACAAGGTACCCACCCACCCCTAGTCACTTGTAACGCGCCGCGCCCGTGCCCGAGCAGCTTTCCTTCAAGGACAAGATGAAGATGTTCGCGCTCGAGGCCGGCGACCGCTCCACGCCCAAGGACAAGGTATCTACCCACCCCTAGTCACTTGTAACACCAGCCTTATACTGGTAAATTCATTGTAATGAGGGATAATAATCATTCGCTCACCATATATCGCTAATTTGAACTGACATAAAGTTTATTGTTGCACAATGTCATTTAATTGAGAAGTTAATATTAAATAAAAGTTTATCAGTTTTTAGAGTATTATATTATATTAATACACAAAACAATGCAGTGGTCGCTCATTAATTTTTTGCACATTTAAAACTCTTTTTATAATTATTCTACTTTTAAGAATATCCGTTGTTTTATATATAAAAAAAATAGTAATAAATAATAATAATATCATAAAGAAACATTAAGCCTTACATTTTCTAACAAATTAACTTTCCCCGCCATGAAATCTGTCATAAATATTTAACCTCATTCATATTTGCCGCCACACTAATGACTGAGAAAGGCATGGCTGCCCTCATTTTATTCACGCAGGAAAAGTAGAACTTTACTGACAACTCTCAAAATAACAATTTCGATGACGCAGATATGACATGCCGCCATTTTAGATTATAAGTTTTCTTTATTTTAGAGGAACCATGATAAAATGGCAAAATATTTGTTAAATGACTTTCACATGAAATGACATCAATGGCAAGCACCCATGTTGTAGTGTTATGCTACTTGCATATCATTTTACACTATTTTAAATTCATTTTTCCATTCTGTTTTGATTTTCTGCATTCACCTCAAAACTGGATATTTTGTATCACCTTTATTTCCATAGGATCCTGCAAATATAGTGTTATGTTACTTACATATCATTTTACACTATTTTAAATTCATTTTTCCATTCTGTTTTGATTTTCTGCATTCACCTCAAAACTGGATATTTTGTATCACCTTTATTTCCATAGGATCCTGTAACGTTTTTAAACCATAAGAACACAATAACAAATCATTTTCACTTCGTATTTTTACGCTATGAGCACTTTTTAAATCGGTGTCGATGGAGTCTACCTTTTTCGATCTTTTATTTCGTTCTCCGTAACTCTGCAATTTCGGGCTTTGTGCGCGCTGGTGCGCTACCTTTTTTTTTTAGGAAAAGCATAACACTACAATGTTCAACACTGAATTTTTACGGGTGGAGAAGAAGTATTTCTATTTTTTATATTTTAATATAATTCTTCAAACTCTTATGTATTCCGTCATCACGCAGCATTCAACTCATGGCACTGTTCCAGTTTAAAGTATTTATACTAATTTTTCTTAGTCCTAAGAGATGACAACGCATCTTCAACCTGTTTTATTTATTGAAGATTGAAGATGTCCTCCATTAACCACTGATGGATTCAGTTCCGTCCTTACATCTTGAGCTCACGGTCCTCATCATGAGTCTGCTTTGTGTTTTTTTGACTTTTTTAGTAAATCCTTAAGTTATTTTTTATTTTATACTACATGACTATATCTTTTTCTCATTATTCGTATTTATTTCATAATTTCAGGTGAAAATATCACGAGCGCAACGCGACATCGACGCTGTGCATTGATTGCCGCATTTTCTCTTCAAACAAAATTTTATATTGACAAATTACGTCAATTATACAAGTTTTTTTATATATTATTCTCCGAAGCGACTTACAGTATCTTGACATAAAGTATCATATATAAGATATTTTTAAGTAAATAACATATTAATGCCAATATACAATGTAAATTTATATTATGTAAATTAAACCTGCAAATCAAATCCAATATCACTTTACTAAAAATTATTAAATTAAGAAATTTGATCCCATAATTTGATTTTTTTGTCTTACACTATTTGTGACAGAGGACCAGACGGAGCTTGTTACAGTTCGGGACTAAGTTCACAATATTGCCTTTATAGGAACGTAGCACCAATTTATATGTCGATTATAGATAAGATAAACGAATATATTTTATGGTAATGAATTTCGATAGTAATTTAGAAACATCGCCTTAGCAGCTAGTGCAGACATAGATACCTACTTTAATTGGTACTTTGGATTTTTGAACAGTATTATGCATTAATAACTGTATTTTTAAAATTGTGATGGCACATTGAAATCGATATTTTTTTTAAACTTAAATTAGTTGTGTGCCATTGTTTAATATTTTATACCATTACATTTGTATTTTGTATGTAAGAGATTCATTATCAGGGAGGACCAATACTTTTTCAATGCGGAGAGTGGGTGCCTTTGCGTGTACCTTAATAAGTTATTTAACATATCCATTCTCTTTCTTCAGATTCATATTTATATTTAAGCTTCATTACATTCCAAAGAATGAAAACTTTTATTCTATTGCTATCTTTTTACAAGAATCATTCCTAATGCTCTTCTCGAGTCATCCATCATAAAGTTTATGTGTCTAACACGATGTTTACATGTATGTAGGTACATCATATTATATTTAAAATATATGATACACTATACATTACGTTATCTTTAATATTAGTAAGTGCTGAACCACTTTACAATCAACATAAAGCAATAAGTTAATGTGAAGCCTTTATGTAAATACAATTTTAATTTAATATTATACTAATAAGCACGTTTGTGCCAAAACTATATACAATGTGGCAAAAAGCAACAGAAGGCCAATGCCACAAGATGGTAGCTACACAAGTGGCAGGCCACAATGTATCGCGTTGCTAATATCAGTTTTTATTGTATATAACCTAGCAATAAGTCCCCTATATGTGTTGAGCATTTTGTACACCTGTTTGTATATGTAAATGTTTATTTAAAATAAATTTATATGGAGAATTTACACGGATAACAAAGGTTACGAGGCGATGCGTAGGACGGTAGGAATATCTAGTTTAGTTTCTGGATATTTATCCAGTGTACACCCAACGATAGTCAATTAGAACTCTTGAGATTTCTTTGTAGTGGTATTTGATTATATTTTGTCTAGCTTGTATATAATTTAACATGAACAACCTAGTGACAACAACATTCGTTTATTGTAATGGATTAGCAATATCTATTTCAGAGATAATACGTACTATAATTATTAGTTATGTTGTACTACATTTTTTTGAAAGATTAATTAAAATAAATTAACGATCACAAAATTGAATTTTATTGACGTAAATCCTTAGTTCATACTGTTTTATTCTCTCCTCATTCATATCATACTGTTTAGGAGCGTACTCTGTGTTATGCAGAATCCCGCGCCGTAATTCCGTCACGAGTACACGCTGCGGGCTCCGTCACACAGCGTAATATACTGCTTGTCCGTGCGCATGTACTGTCTTGCGGACATAATGGATGATCTGTTAACTGATTCGTTGCGGCACCAATTTTCGAAAAGTTTCTGACCGAGACGCAGGTTTCCTCTCCGGCTGATATTTCGTATCTCTCCTACCCGGGGTACAAATTGGAGCACTCCTTTGTGACTCGGGCTGGAGTTTGCGTGTATGTCAGAGAGGACATCTGTTCTCGACGCCTCGGCAGTCTTGAAGGTTCGGACCTGTCCATCCTATGGCTACGCGTAGACAGCGACGACCATCCGCGCGTCTACGGGTGCCTCTATAGGTCCCATAGCGGTAATGCCGAAACAGATCGACTCATTGACCACTTCCAAATGGCTACAGATTCTTTGCTACAACAGGTCCCATCCGCAGAAATCGCGATCCTTGGCGATTTTAACGCCCACCACGCTGTGGCTCGTTTCACGTTTAACCGATCATGCGGGAAGATCTGTTTATGACTGCTTTGGCATATGGTCTGACACAACATGTTACTTCGCCTACGCGGATTCCAGATGTGGAGGATCATACACCTTCCCTGTTAGACCTTCTGCTGACCTCTGATCCGGACGGATATCAGGTTTCCGTCGATGCCCCTCTCGGCTCTTCGGACCATTGTCTGATCCGGAGTGTGGTGCCACTCACGCTCCCCTCGCGGTTGCGTCCTGCAGGTTGCCGCCGTGTTTGGCATTACAGGTCGGCGGATTGGAACGGAATGCGGTCTTTCTTTGCATCCTACCCATGGGGGCGGGTTTACTTCTCGCCAGATGATCCCAGCGCTGTTGCTGACTCTGTCACTGATGTGGTGCTACAGGGTATGGAACTATTTATTCCATCATCTGTGGTACCCATCGGAGGCAGATCTCAGCCTTGGTTTGGTCGCTCCTGTAAGACTGCATTACGCAGTAAGCAGGAGTGTTATCAAGCCTGGGCTGCGGCTTCGGCGACTCGGGATGTAAACACCAGCACACTTAATAAGAAGTATAACTTCGCCTCCAGGTCCTTCAAAAGAGTTATTGCCAAGGCAAAGTCAGAGCACATAGACAGAATTGGCGAGAAACTAGTTCGCCTTCCTTCGGGAACCCGTGCATTCTGGTCTCTCACCAAGGCTGTCCAAGGGAATTTCTGTAAGCCATCACTACCATCTCTGCACAGGGAGGACGACTCACTAGCCCAAGACGCAAAAGACAAAGCCGACCTTTTAGTCTCCCTTTTTGCGTCCAACTCGAACTCTTGATGACGGGGGGAAAACACCGCCGACCATCCCGCGGTGTGAGTACTCCATGCCGGATGTGCTGTTCTTACAGCGATCGGTTCGCAAAGCACTCCTCTCCTTGGACATCCAGAAGTCGAGTGGACCTGACGGAATCCCCCCAATTGTGCTGAGGACGTGTGCTCCGGAGTTGGCACCGGTCCTAACGCGTCTTTTCCGGTACTCCTACTCCCAAGGCGTAGTCCCGAATTCATGGAAGACAGCTTTTGTCCACCCGATCCCTAAAAAAGGCGACCGCTCAGACCCGTCCAACTATAGGCCTATCGCGATCACCTCCTTGTTCTCCAAAATAATGGAATCAATTATTAACTACCAGCTCATGCGGTACCTTGAGGATCACCAGCTGATTAGTGACCGCCAATACGGTTTTCGTCGGGGTCGATAAGCTGGTGATCTTCTGGTCTACCTGACCAATAGATGGGCAGAGGCAGTAGAGTCCAAGGGGGAGGCGTTGGCTGTTAGTTTGGACATTGCGAAGGCCTTCGATCGGGTTTGGCACAAAGCGCTTCTGTCGAAGCTCCCTTCCTATGGGTTTCCCGAGAAATTGTGCGATTGGATCACCAGCTTTCTTGCAGATCGGAGCATCAAGGTCGTTGTAGACGGTGCAAGCTCCGACTACAAGCCTATTAACGCTGGTGTTCCACAAGGCTGTGTGCTATCACCAACGCTGTTTCTTCTGCATATCAATGATATGTTGCTAGCTGGTAACATTCATTGCTATGCGGATGACAGCACTGGTGATGCTCTATACACCGGCCGTGCCAATATTTCTCGGGAAAACGTCGCCGAGTACCGGAACAAACTTGTGTCTGAAGTCGAGTCTTTGCTGAACAAAGTCTCGGATTGGGGGCGACTAAATCTAGTCCAGTTTAATCCTCAGAAGACACAAGTTTGCGTCTTTACCGCTTAAAAGAACACCTTTGTCGTATATCCTCAGTTTCAAGGCACTCCCCTTCTTGCCTCAGCCAGTATCGGAATCCTCGGAGTCGACATATCGAGTGATGTGCAGTTTCGTGGTCACTTGGAAGAGAAGGCCAAATTGGCCTCTAAAAAGCTTGGCGTGCTCAGCAGAGCGGGACAGTATTTCATGCCGGCACACCGCCTGCAACTTTACAAGGCGCAGGTTCAGCCTCACATGGAATACTGTTCCCATCTCTGGGCAGGGGCTCCCCAGTGCCAGCTCCTTCCACTTGACCGCATCCAGCGCAGAGCGGCTCGAATCATCGACGACCGAGTCCTTTCCGATCGGCGCGATTCATTGGCACTGCGAAGAGATGTCGCATCCCTTTGCATTTTCTTTCGCATCTACCACGGGGAGTGCACTGAGGAATTGTTCGGATTAATCCCAGCCGCCAAATTTCACGAACGCACATCGCGGCAGAACTCCCGATACCATCCACACCATCTGGATGATTGGCGGTCCACCACATTTAGAAGATGTTTTCTTCCTCGCACGACTTCCTTGTGGAATCGATTACCATCAGCTATTTTTCCGGACCGATACGACTTAGGGACCTTCAAGAAAAGAGCGTACTCCTTTTTAAAAGGCCGGCAACGCATCTGCGATTCCCTCCCTGGTGTTGCAGCTGTTCATGGGCGGCGGTAGTCACTTACCATCAGGTGAGCTGCATGCTCATTTGCCCCCTTTCCTATATAAAAAAAAACTCTCGGCCTATCTGGTCGTGGCGGCGAACATGACTGCCCGTGGCCCTCAAACCTCGCCACGCCGCGCGAATTGTCGCCCCGCCTGCCGCTTCGCCGTTCGTGCCGCCGATCCCCGTGGCTAGGCCGTAAGGGGAGGATATGCCAGACCTGTAGGCAATTATAACGCTTTCCCAGCTCACGTCTTTAGCGCTACGCACGATGTATTTATTCTATGCAGTAATACTCTGTACTCCGTGTGTAAATATACGCTACAGTAAAAAATTTTGCAGAAGATCAACTGAATTGAATACCATAATAATTGAATTGTTACTTTTCTTCTTCAGTAGTTT